TTTTTTTTTGTTTTCGTTTTATGATTGGCCCCCTCCTTTTCTGTTCTTTTTTTTTTTTTTTACCTGTCTACCGTCTTCCAGATTTCCACCTTCTTCCTTGCGGAAGAAAGAGAGAACGCAAGTAAACAAGAAACAACAACAACAAAAAAAAAACGAAAGACAAACGGCACGCGGTGATTTGCCCATCTGTGGGCGGCCCTCTGGTCGTGCCTTGGTATGCATTCCTGCGTATATGTGTCCCGCCATGGCGTTGCGGCTGCCGCAGCACTTAGGGGAGGGCACGCAAGTCCCTCCTCCGTCTTCGCCACACGGCTGGCACGGACACTTGGAAAACAAACAAACAAAATTGAACGTTGACAATAAAGTCAGCATTCTGGAATATGACCTTCAAAACAAAAAAGGGAAAAAACAATAGCTAAAAAAACACACTCATACGTACATATATATATATATATGCGTGTGTGAAGAGGGGATACCGACTGAACACGACCACCACAACAACAACACAGAGCACGAGACGAGGGATATTGATGGGCAACAACACCAAACAAGATGAGAAACAACAATACATGATAGAATGTGGTATTATTGCATCCAGCATAATGAGATCGAGGAGACATAGAAAAAGGAACGCAGAATTGAGTGCCAGCACACGTGCCGGCGTACAAGGTTGAAACGAAAAAAAAAAAAAAGAATTGTGCACATAACCACACAAAAAGAAAAGAAAAATCAAGAAGAGAAACATAAAAGAAAAAACAGGCTTCTCAGACATCCTTTTAGTCCCCTCTCACCCCTCGCTCTTGGAATGGTCCTAATACCCCCCATCCGATTCCTTTTTTTGTTTTGTTTTCCCTTCGGTTCCATCATTCTTTTCTCATTCGCCCTGACATCTCCTCATTCCATCGCCTCGTTTTTTTAGCTTACTTCCGTCATTTTTGTGCTCGATAGCAGGCGCAAGCAGTGAGACACTAAACGATCAGCGCATTATGTGACCTGTCCGCCACTAACTGCTCACCCTTAAGGATGTTCTCCGTTACATCAATATGAACGATGGCGGACGGCTCAATGGCCGATCGCATTTTCACATTGTAACACGGCGGCTCCTCTGTCTGCTGGAACTTCGGCGCAAACGTGGCGACAAACACCTTGAAGACGGCTAGGCACTCAAAGTACCCCGCCACCGCTTCTGCAGGGGTCGCCACAATGCGCTCCAACTGCATGAGCTTTGAGTCACATGGTGAGACTTTGGTGAAAGGCTCATGCGTAGTCGAACTATCGAGGGATGTGATGGTGCTCTCGCTGCTGCGCATTTTGAATATCCCCACGTAGCCCTCTGCTTTCCTTTGAATACCCGGCCATGCAGAAGTACGCACTTTCACCGCGTTGAATCGGGCGCGCTCATAACAATGGAAGAATACATTGAAAGAAAGATATTGCTGTTCCTCCGTGGTGAAGCATTGCCGGAGTGTGCTATACACGGGGGTTAGTATCTTGTCAATGACAATCTTCTGCGTCAGGTTTGTGGCATGATTGTTCAAGCATATGTTGTAGCTGCTCTCCTTGGGCAGCATCCACTCATACATCTGGACAGCGTCCTCTAGAGGACGCCCACTGCTCACGATCGTGGCAAACATGCGACATGCAAGACGAACACAGGCTATAATGACATCGACGCTGTCATCTGCGAGTGAGGGCATATACGTTGTTGTCTGCACCGCGGAACGACTGCCATAAGCGCAGAGGCGCTTCTTGTTAGTTAGACATTTACGATCGGCGGCAAATTCTGCTAAAAGTCCAGGCATCAAGCGGAATGACTCAGACCACTTTCCGCGTTTTGAGCATTCCACCCAGTGGTGTCCCGCCCACGCTTTGGCACGGCAGCTCTCCGAACAGTAAACTTCTCCACATTGGCCGTTACACTGCACAATGTTGGGATCGCTATATATCTTGCGGACCAGTGAGGGCTTTATCCCCGGTAAGCTATCGCAGAAGTCTTCTACTCGTGTTAGGGGGTGGTAGCATTGACAACATATATAACGCGAAGCCCCTTTGCCGTTGCTGCCTCTGCCACCACTATACGGGTAAAAAAGAAGTGTCACCGTCGTGGTCGTCTCCTTCCATGCCAACTCGCCAACACGCATGTTCTTCTTGGCGTGGAGGACAACGTTTTTGGTGTTTCGATCCAACATTATGGACGCCACCTTTCGGTGGTCCAGTTTGGGGGCGTACAACATCATGACAGAATTGCTGAGGAGGAGATACTTAAGCGTTTCGTTTTCAGGGTCAAGGGCAAGGGCATTCTCATAGTAGGTTCGCGCCTCTTCGTATTTTTTCACCCCACGCAGTGTGTTGCCCGCGCGCACGTATCCAATACAACTCTGAGGCGTCAGTTCAATTACACGTGTTGCATCCTTAAAGGCAGCCTCTGCATTATGCAGACCTAAAAACGCTACGGAGCGATTTGACAGGGCTCTGGCTCCACCGTCGGGACTGTACTTCAGCGCCTTTGTATAATAACGCACCGCCTCCACACAGTTTTGCCGGGTTAGGGCTTCGTATGCCTTCTTCATGGCGTAGTTGTACTTGCGCCGCGCCGCATTGGCATTCTCTTGCGTAAGCGACTCCTGCCTGATATCCGCCTCTGTGCTACGGCCCCAGCGCGCCGCGTCTGTCGCGTTAAATAACCTCTGCAAGCTCTTCGGGTTGGTGCCCAATGGGTCGCTGCTGCTGATGGTGGGATCGACAGGGAGAGGACGCTCCACCACGCGGTTGTCCTCCTCGGAGCTGCTGCCGTAGACCTCGAAGAGGCCACTGGCGTCAGGTTTGCATGCGTCGCTGACGGTCCCACTCACCGTGCCCTCCCTTTGATGGTGCGGGATGTACTTCTTGAAGCGCACCTTGGGCTCGCTGAGGCAGGCGCGGTAGAGTGTGCAGCCAACGGCCATCTCCGGGTCCGCGTCGTACACGACGAAGGTGTAGTCACCTTGGTGTCGCACCACCCGCACAGATCGTCTCCCCTGGCCGAAGAGTGTATCCATAAATGGTTCCCACAACTCGTTCGTCTGCGCTATTTTCGCAGGACCCAAGTCAACAAGATCTACTTCACAGCCGATAGGGTAATCCTCAATGGGTGGCGGCGGCGGACGGTCCTCCGAGTCGAAGGCCTCAAACGATGGGAACTCCAAACACTCGCCTTCATCCATCACGGGCTGAGGTTACGAGTTTGTTTTTCTGTACGTACTCCTGTTTTCCCTTTTTTAAAATTTATTTGTGTAGACGTGTATCTGAGAGACGATATGTGCGTTTGTCTGCCTCTCTCTGTGTGTGTGTGGCAATGGGCCGTCAGGCTTCGTTTTACTGAATCTTTTCCTCCCTGTGTGTTTGTCAAGCCTCGTGCTTTTCCGATTACTTACTGCTTTTTTTTTGTCCCCCACTTCAACTGCACCAAATCTCTGGCTCCCGCCGCAGTGTGAGAGCAGGAACACGTTGTGCACTAAATCGCTGCACCTGCCAAGGTGATGTGCCCACGCGTTATTGAAATTGTCAGAAGAGCGGGGGTGTGGGAGATTGGGGCGGAGCTCCCCTCACAGTCAATACTTACGTATGTGCGCTTGTGTTTTATTCTCCTACCTATGGCCACAGCACAACAAACACCCCCACCCCACACGGAAAAAAAAAAAGACACACAGGAAAAGATAGTAAGCCTGAACAATCGCATACCCACACATAATACGTATTATGTGTGACGCGTGTAAAAGGGACGTGTGAAGGGAGGCATCGGCAGAAGGAATGTACAAACAACAAGCAGAAAGGAAGTACCACAGAAAGGAAGAGCGAAATCCAACAGCAAACACAACTACAAAGAATAAATGCACACAACAGTGGTGCATCAGCGATACTTTTCACGTCTCTTGGGAAACTGTTTTTTTTTTCTTTTTCTTCTTTTGTTCTGTATTTATTAATTTTTTTTTTTGTTTCTTTCGGAGACTTCTTCGCCCCATTTCATTCACGCATCCATGAGGGGGCGTGAAGCTTGCCGCAGCTGCGGTGGCACCTCCCCGTCGCTGAATTCGCCGACCACGTCGCCTTGTTCGTTGTCCGGGGACGAGCCCTCTGCTACGGGCTGCGGCCGCACGTAGAAGATCATTTTCATTCCCTTCCCGAAGTTCCTCACAACTCTTAGGCCGATAATAAAAGATGCGGCACGAAATATAATGGCGAAGGCGTAGTTGGTGGCCAAAAGCCCTACCACACGACTGTCGAAAGCGGTGTGGTGCGCAAGGCACTCCCCGCCGGCGTAGGACTCGGCCACCGACACGAGGCTCGGGAAGTAGGCGCCGAGCCACCAGCCGCTCGTGGCGNCCGCCGCCAGCAGCCGGCATACTCGGCGAGTGCCATGGTCCACCACACCACCGCCACCAACTTGCAGAAGGCGGAAACGACAACACCGCCGTGGTCCTCCCGCTTCAGGTACTTCGCTGCGTAGCGCGAGGCCGTCAACTCGCAGAGAAGTACAACTATCAACACCCAGTATCCATCCTCACTTGCACTTTGCACAAAGAACACAAGCACAAGGAACAATAAAATGGAGGCTTGAATGTCCAGTAGGTTGCAGACCCGGTAGCGCTGGTATGTCTTGTACATATCCCGCACCACACGTCTGGCACCACCGCGACGGAATATGCGCCAACCGAACATCTTGTACACGGGTCGTACGAGGAACCAGGAGATTATCATCAGCAAACCAGCGAGTCCAAGAAGAATCCGGCGAGCCGTGCGCTGTGCGTCGTACTCTGGCGGCACATGAACCTCATCGAGCGCACTGCGCAGCACCTCAGTAGCTTGCGTTACCGCTATACAGAAAAACAGAAAGCGGTTCTCCTGTGAGATGGCAACGTACACGTAGATAAGACCGAAACACGCGCCCATCATGATGACCGCGCCGTAGTACACGTCGTTATACATGCCCTCACGCGGGATGCCCTGTCGGTATTCCACAGGAGAGGTTTCCCGCACGCTGAGGCACTGGCAACAGCGACCACCACTGTCCACAACAAGACAGCTGTTGTGCACCTTCATGCAGAGGGCGCCAAAGACGAACATCAGCAGAAATGAGCCAACGGCTGTCACAACGTACGCCGTCTTGACATTCCGGTAGGCCTTCCAGTTCAACTCGTACCAACGGGGCTCACTGTGGCATTCTTGCACCACATCGTCAAAAGTTGCCCCGAAGCGGTAGCGGTTGCCACCCGAGACCATTTGCCGCACGCAGTCGTTACAAGAGAATGCGTCCTTTTTGAGACTAGAGGGTGACGAAAGCAAAATAAAAAGAAAACGAAATGAAAACCACGACAGATGATTGCGATGGGGGAGAAGGGGATGGAAAGAAAGAGGGCGGGTGGGAAGCGACGCCATCGCCAAAACAGGCGCCCAGGCAAAATGGAGGGATGGGCCACGTGCCCCCAAAATAATGACAAGATTGTGACGTGAAAACAGATTAGCGAGTCACACAACACCCAAGAAGCTCCCCTCCCAAGTGCTCCGCCCTGTCTTGCTCTCTACCGCTGTTGCTCGGCGAACATCTCGTCAAAGATCCGCGCCACCCTCATCGCATCCTCGTTCCTCAACCGTGGATCCCGCAGCATGGCCGTAAAGGTGGCAGCGATTTCGTCCCAACCACGCTTCCGCGCCGCTTCCACCGCTGTCAAAATGCGCGGCACCTGCTCGATGGTAAGAGTGCTCTTGAACTTCGCCTCTGTGCCGCTCGGCGGCTGCATGAAAGAGAGCTCCTCCAGCGCTCGCTGCACGCTGGCCAGCGCCGGTATCTGGTCCAAAAGCGTGTCATTGAAGAAGCGGCGAATACGCAGAATGAGTTCCTTCTTGCTCTGTGTGTACGGGTAACGGGTCCGGCACTCAGGGTCGCACAACATTTTGTGGAGGGCGAACCAGGTGTGGGCCTCCGGAGTGCAGACAAGAAGCGCATCGGATGGTGGAACGTCCTTAAACTCGCCATTGGAGTACTTCTGCACCACACCTGGGCCGCGACGGAGCCACGGCTGCAGCAGCATGACCTCCGACAGGCCAAGCACAAGGTCGTTCTTGATAAACACCGAATTCGACACCGCCAGCGGTAACTGGTCTAGCCGATCAATGATGAACCAGAGGATCGACAGGGAGGTCATCGCACGTTGTACCATGCCATGGAACAGTTGCCTCTCCACGTGTTGGAGGGCATCTTCCTCACTAATCTGCTTCGGCGTAGGACTCACCTGCACCTCATTGATTCCATTCTCTGCAAAGAGTCGGGAGGCCTGGCGCCAGCAGTAGTCCAGCAGCTCGAGCACATCTTCGTCCAAGGCGACCACCACTTCCTCGTAAAAAGCAATGCACTCGATCAGGTTCACAAGCACCATCTCATAGTAAGTGTACATATACATCGCCGTAGGGTTCCGCGCCATTTCCTCTTTCACCAACGGCAGGACGCGCTGGCGCCACATCTCAATCACCAACAGCTCGTGCAGCAGCACCGGCAGCTTTTCATGCTCTATGAGGAACGCCTTAACGGTGTCATCCTTCTTCTGCACAGCGTTGCTGTGGGTGCACATGTTCAGCCGCTCGACGGCCTCGCGTTGCTCCTTCCACTCTGTCGTGCCAACTTGTTCGAGTGGAATCGGCTTCAGTTGCCGCACGAGTATCTCCACCTCCGACGGCGACAGTGTGTTGCCCGAGTACTCCATTTTATCGGCAACGCCCTTGCTCTTTCCTCTCTCTACTTCTGATACCCACACCCGAGTCTTGTGGAGCGAGGGAGGATAAAAACAAACAGCGACAGATTGCAGCAGTGATGGCAGTTACTAGAATAAAGACACCCGGTTGAATAGAACCGCAACTTCTGGACATCAATCGCGATCTGAAACAACAACAAAAAGCACGTGAGTAATGTGCACAGCCTTCTCTTCTAATGTCCGCATTAACTCGCACTTGCATCTATCAAGTAAATCTACGTAATACACACACAGACACATAAACACACACAGACATCAAGGCTTCACACGGATGGCAGGACCTCTTCTTCTTTTACTTTTGAGGCAAGCCAACACAGCAGGACAAATGTGGAAGGGAAAAAAGAACAGCTAATTGTTCTCCTTTCCACTGGTTACATCTGCACCGGCGCGTGTTCTCTTTCCCGTCGGTGGCTGTATCCCGTTCGGCAGGTAGTAATACTTCAGCAGAAATGGGTGATTCACTACGCGGTGCAGCGCGAGACGCTTGGTGCCGTCGCGTAGCAGAAGGTTCGTGATGAGGTCCTTCGCCTCCGGTGGCACCGTTTCTGGGATCGAGTACTGCATCGCATGGATCTTCTTGCATATGTGCTCCGTGTCTTTGCTGACAAACGGCGTCTTGCCCACCAGCAGCTCGTAGCAAAAGATACCGAGGCACCATAAGTCGGCGCTCGTGTCGTACGGCTGGCGACCAATGATTTCCGGTGGGAAGTACTCCGGCGTGCCGCAGGATGTCTTGCGGCGGTTGTTCGGGTCGTGCACCGACCAGCCAAAGTCCGCGAGCTTGATGTTCTGCTTGTGGTCAAGCAGAATGTTCTCCGGCTTGATGTCGCGGTGGAGAATGTGGTGCTGATGGAGGTACAGCAGGGCCTCTGCGAGCTGTGCAACGTAGCGTGCGGCGGTCGGCGGGGGAAAGCACTTCACGCGGTTCAGCTCTGTGTACAGCATACCATTGCTGCAGGGCTCTAGGATGAGGTAGATGTCGGCGTCGTCGAAGAAGTATCCGTAGGTGCGCAGCAGATACTTGTGTCGGGTGTGGAATGCAATCTCAATCTCCCGCCGCAGCTGTGTGACGATATCAAACTCCGCCAGTTTCTTGATGGAGAGTTTTTTGATGGCACACACGAAGTTGCAATCCCGCACCGAGGCAAGATAGACGTCACCGTAGTTGCCACCACCTAATTTGTGCAGCAGCTCAAAATCTGACGCCTTCCAGTCTGACTTAGGCGCCTTTGGAAGCGAAATGAAATCCGCCACAACCTGCCCGCCTTCAGTTGCCTTCATCCTCGCCTCCAGCGACAGCAATAAAATGACCGTTGAAGTAGCGATAGTGGTGGTGGTAGTAGTAGTAGTAGGGGTAGTGGCGGTGCTGGTGGTGTTGGTGCCCTCACTCCGTTAACCTCTACAGGCGTCCTTTTCCCGTTCCTAGCGGCACATGGAAGGCCGTACCAAGAAGAAAGAAGGAAGAAAGCAAAAAAAAAAAAAAACGGCAACATTCCTTGACGTCACTTCTCCATCCTTTCTGTGTGCATTAAATTCAGAGCAGGGCACACACATACGCGCACCAGGTAATTTAAGCACCACTCTGTGTAATTTTTCCAAGCAATTTGTTAGCATTTCTTTCTTCTCTTCCACTTTGCTCCTCTCCCTCTCTCTCTCTCTCTCTCTTCCGCACTTTTTTTTTGGTTCTATCAATCTATTCTCACGACGGCCCCTCTCCCTTTTCTCTCCCTCGGTTAGAGCAGGTCCGCATGTCCGCACAGCCGCCCTGTGTGTATGTATGCATATATATATATATATATATATATGTATATGTGTGCTTGTGTGTGTCTACCGCCTCAGGCCGCAAAAAGCTGATCAAAGGTGCGCTCTTCGATGACAGAGAAGGCCCCCTCCCTGTCCTTGTGAATGTAGTAGAAGGTGTCCAGCGCCTGCCCCCCGAGTGCCCGCACAAACTGCTCATCGTGTGTGATGACGATCAGCTGGAAATGCTTGAGCGAGCGGTACCTGTCAATGAGCAGCCGCAGCGACTCCGCGAGAGAGCGAGCGTTGTCCTCGTCAAGATTCGTTGTCGGCTCATCGAGCGCGAGAATGCCGCAGTCGCAGCAGAATGCCTCACTGAGTGCGAGGCGAATGAGGACCGACGCTAACACCTTCTGGCCGGCACTACAGCGACCACGCATGTCCATCTCGCTGTTCCCCCGCTTCATCACGACGCGGTAGCTGTAGCTACGCCGTGCCGTCGTCGACGTGACGTCGTCCTCGGAGCGGAGCTCGACGGTGTCGATGTCGCTGCCCTTGTACGTCTGCCGCCAGAGGTCTGCGAGGATCTGGTTGATCTGCGCAATTTTCTCCTGATGATACGACTGCACCGCCTTCTCCAATGCCCTGTAGTACTTTTCGATGTCTGCCACCGCAATCTCAGTCGTCTGCACCTTCAGAAACGTTGAGCGGTACCGCTTCTCAACGTCCTGGTACTTGTCGCGCGCCAGCTGCCGCTTGAGGCCTGCGATGTCCTGCACCATCGCCTCCACGTTGCCCTCCTGCTGTGCGCGGGCCCGCTCCAGCTCGCCCGTCTTGTCGCGGATGAGTTCGCGGATGCGCGATACGCTCTCGCGCTCAATGACGTCGCTGCCAAGCACCGCCGCCACGCCGTGCACTTCTTTGCCCTTCAGCTCCGAAAGGGCCCGGCGCACTTCTTGCAACCGCGCCTCGTCCTCCACAATTGACTGGCGCTTCTCGAGCACATCGATATGCTTCTCCATCTCCGCCGCAGAGCGGTACTGCTCGTCCACCACACGCCGCGCCTCCTGAATATCCGTACGTAGCTGTTTTACCTCTTCGGTCACAGTGAGACTCAGCGTCTCAGCGCCGCGCAACTTTTCCCGCGCCGTGGCGAGCTGCTCACCGTAGCGCGACGTGATATACTCGCGCACCTTGGGCATCAAACTCGTCATAACACGCAGGGATTCCTCCACTTGTCCAAGACGGCCTGCCTGTGCGGTGAGCTCCGCCGTCTGACGCTCCTGCCGCAGCGTCTCAAGCCGGCTGTTGAGACCGTCGACCTGTGTCTGCAGCTCAGCCCGACATGCGTCGATGGCAGCGGTGCGCTCCCTGTAGCCATTTGCCTCACCTCTGCAGCGCGCTATACCTCCCTCCAACTCGCTCTGCCGCATTAACTTCATCTCGGCCTGGTAGAACTCCGCCCGCTTTGCACTCAGCTCGTTGGCGAGTGTCTGATCCGAATCTCCGTCTTCACGCCGCTGAGCTTCGTTCAGAAGGACATTCAGACGGTACAACTCCGCGTTGGCTTGTTCGTACTCACTAGATAACTGCTCGTACGTTCGGACTCCAGCAAATCCATCATTATCATTGGCACCAGCAGCAGCAGCAGCGGCGGCGGCAACAGCGTCCGCCCGCATCTCCACAACGGTGGCCTCCCTCCGGGCAAGCTGTTGCCTAAGTGCGTGCATTTCCGAGGCGACCGCGTTCAAGTCCGCTGCAGCCCGCACCAATTCCTGTACACGCTTCATCTGTTCCTCGATACCATCGCACTTGCGATCCACATCCTCGAGGAGCGCCCGCTTGTTCGCAAGTTCCTCGTTGATGGTTTTGACCAGATTCTCCAGCACCGGGACGTTAGCAGTGAGTCGCCGTACCTCGTGCACGTCCGTTTCAACCCTCTCGAGACGGCGCAGCCGCCGCTCCGCCGACACAGCCGCTGCCTGCGCCTTCTGCACGTTTTCCGGAGACGCCCGCTGCTGCACCTCGTTGAGCTGCACGAAGCTGTCGAGCGCCGCCTCGTCGCTGAAGCTGCGGTCACACACCGGGCACCTCCCCTCCCCCTTGGCAACCTCCACGAAGTTGGCATAGCACGTGGCCATCGCCTCCAGTGCGTGGCAGCGGTGATTCGCTTTATGCAGCGTGTCGCGGGCATCGTCAAGGACAGCTTCGAAGCGCTCCAACTCGCCGTCACCAAGCGCCGCGGCGCAGGTGGCGCGTTTTCGCTTCAGCTCTTCACTCTCTCGCATCATGTCCTCCAGGTGCTGCGACCGCTTCTGTTGCAGCACAGCAACCTGGCGGTCGAGCTCGCTGCGCTCTGCGCGAATGACACGGAGCGCCTCTGCCTTCTGATCTCTGAGTCGCTCAACAAGAATAGATGTGTGTGTCAGCGATTGTGCCTCATCTGCCTCGTAGCCGAAATTCGACAGCGCCGGTATGAGCATCTCTTGTAGTCCCGCGTTGAGACTGTCTTGCTTTTCCGCAATCTGAGATCGCAGCAGGTTCATCTCCGCCTCTCCACCGGTGCGTTGTTTGTGTCTCGCCAACTCCTGCCGTAGCTCGGCAACGACCCGGTTCTGTGCGTCCACCTTTTGCAAGATGTCATGTCGCTGCCGGTAGTTCTCACTACTTTTCTTCAGCGTTTCCACCGCCTCAACACGCTGCTCCATGTTGGTTATCGTCTCCCGCAGCCCATTGAGCTGTGCGTGACTCACATGGGGTTTCAGTTTCCTCAGCGCCTCTTCCGCACCGCCAATTTGTTCCTGGAGGTGTTTCAGCTGCTCCTCCTTCATCTCTTTTTCCTTACTGTCAGCGTCCATCGAGCGAAGCGCAATGGCACGCTTCTCCTCAATGTTTTTCACCTCATCGTCAATGCCTCTCAGCACCTTGTCACGCTCTTCTGTTGCCTTCCGAAGTTCCACGCTCATGCCATCGCTGATCCGCTGTAACCCAGGCTCGTCCATGTCGTCTTCCCCCATGACTAACTCCCCAGACGCATCCTTCACGACTCTCTGGAGATCGGCACAGTTTCGCTTGTACTGCTGCTCTTGCTGTTCAAGGAAGCGGATCTTGGATCGAAGGCCCAGTGCAGTTTCCTCGTGGGTACGTTTTGTCGCCTCTGCCACATCAAGGAGATTGTCCTTTTGCATCACCTCCGTCTCTAACTTCTTCACGTGCTCACCAAAGTCTCGCCTAAGCTCTAGCATCTCTTCCAGAGTCTGTTTCACTGGGGGAAGGTTTGCTCGGTCCACTGACTGCTTCTTCTCCTCAATGCGGCCCTGTATGATAGCGGCCTCACGAGCCAAGCTTTCCGCGTTCTGCTCCACAGCACTCAGCGCGGCAGCGACGTCGTGGAGCTGCTTAAGTTGTGGCTCCAACGCCTTAGCCTTCGACTGAATCGTGCGCACCGCTTCCTCCTTCGCATCGATGTCGCCCGACAGCTGCAGCGCCTGATCGCGGTGCTCACGCAGCGCCATCAAATTGGCCTCAAGCTCCTTCTGCTGCCGTCGAAACTCTTTGCTATTCTCTCGAAGTCGATCAAGTGCAAGAACGTACCGTGTAGCGGCGAAGATGTCATCGAATATTTTCTTCACATCCTTAGGAGGCGACAGAGGCCAGTTTCCATCCTCCTGGTGACAGAAGATGACGTGTTCGAGGACGGCGGGGGAGACACCAAGCATCTCCGGCACAGCGCGGTCCACGTCATTTGCGCGGTACGTACTAGACACCACTTTACCCGTGGCAGCATCTTGATAGGCCACTGTGTTATCTAGCGTCGAAAATGTTGTCTTGGTGCGTGTGCGTGTGGCTTGAAAGGAGCGTATCACCTGCATCACCTTCCCGCCTTTACCGGTGAATAGGAGGCGTATCTGCGCCTTCACATCCGTCTCACCCATCACCTTGGGGTCGTAGATAAAGGAACTCTTCTCGGAACCGCTTCCCGGCGGCATCTGTCCCGTGCATGCATTCAGCAGCGCCTCGATGATCGTCGTCTTCCCCGCGCCGTTCTTGCCGAGGATCACAGTGAGCGGCTTCTGAAACACAATCGTCTGTCGATTGACCGGGTTGGGGTCGAAACTGCGGACGCCGCTAATCTGAATCTGTTCGATACTCGTCATTCCTAGTGTCGCTAACGTTCCCCCCAGACGCGGCCTCCTGTGCCTATACACAAGAGCAGGGCACAATAGCAAAAGACAGGAAANGGGGGGAAAGAACGGCATCCAACAAACAGAGAAACCAACCAGGAAGGTATGGCAGTGTAGATGCCCCGATATTTGTTTGTGCGCCACACGCGGCATATAAAGTAGAGGAAAAGATGAAAAATTAAAACAAGCGAGGAGGGTGCGTCACCCCAAGAGTCCCCTTAGTGAACGAGTCGTAAGACGCCAGGTCTCACGTGCTCCACTTTACTTGCCGGCGTTCGGGCGGTATGGCACCTTTGAAGTGAAGCGGCGCTTGCGCATATCCACTGGGCGGGCGCGGACGGTGCGGCTGTGGATGGCGCATGCGATGCAGTAGCGCTGTTTCATGTACAGCTTTGGCATCGGGAAGCCGGCGCCGTAGATGAGGGACGCCTCGGCCACGTCGCGGGCCGACGCCTGGTCGAGCATGCGGCGCACGACAAAGCGGCCGACGGCCTTGTCCTTGGGCGCCAGACGGCCACAGTTGAAGCAGTGGACCGGCCTGGTGCGGCCACGGGAGCACGGGGGCTTCGCACGGCCATGGTTGCGGCGCTTCGTCGTCATATTCGCTTTCTTTTTGGTTCGGTTGTGTTTACCTCCTTCGCTTTGCGGTGTCACCAGGTGGAAGGTGGAACAAAACAAACAAAAAAAAAGCAAAAATAATAGAGGGAGATAGCGGGTGCGAAACAAAGATGGATGAAGTCACCAGCGCCATGAACTGTAGTGTGCGCATGTTTGAGTGTATGCATGCATACCTGTGTGAGTGTGTGTGTGTGTGGCTACTCCCTCACCACTTGGTGCGGCAGCAGCAACGAAACAGGGCTCCTGCACCCCTCCCGCTTCCAGCAACGTGACTCCCCTCGCAATACGGCAGTGCTGCGGATCCTCTGCCGCTCGTGTCTGTTTACTTTTTGGCGCTACGCCTGTTGTATGCAGACAGTAAAACAAGAAAAAATTGAAAGTAAAAGACTGTTTTTGTTGGCGACCTCCTTCTCCTCGGCCTCCTCCCCCTTCACTCTACTTAATCTCTAGCATCGCCGACACCGTCCTCGTAAATGCCAAAAATCGCTTCAGCTTCGGCTAGACAGGGCGAATCGTATACTTTTATGATACGCTGCTCGCCTCTCCCTTTGCGGAGGCTCAGCCGTGTGGTGGACGCGTGCGCCATGATGTGGCCACCGATAGGCTTCTTGGCGTCCGCCTGGAACATCTGCGCCGAACCGTCCACATTGGCGACGACCTGATTGGTGACGACCACGGCCACGCCGTACTCCTCGGCGAGATTATGAAGCGAACGAAGAAACTTGCCAAGGTGCATCTGCCGGGCCGCAAGTTCATTACGGCCACTGTAGTCAGTGCGGTAGAGCGCCGTAGCGGAGTCGACAATGATGATGGCGAAGCGGTTTTCAGCCATCATGGCCGATGCCTGCAACAACAACTGCTGTTGGTGATCTGTGTTAAAAGCACGTGCACATGCAACGTTGGCGAGAACGTCCTGTGGATCGAGCTTGTAGCGCTCTGCCACGGCAACCAGTCGCTCTGGGCGGAAAGTGCCTTCCGTGTCGATGTAGAGCGCCATTCCCTCTGCTCCGCCCTGTGAGATAGGCAACTGGCACGTGACACAGAGGGTGTGGCACAACTGCGTCTTTCCCGTGCGGAACTCGCCAAACAATTCGGTGATGCTGCCGGTTTCAATGCCACCGCCTAGAAGTTTGTCTACTTCGCGACTGCCGGTTGTCACCATGATGATCTCCTTTCGCGCCTCGTGGTACACCACGGCAGAGGTGAAGCCCATCGGAACTAACTTGGCGCACTCCGTCATGATTTTCTCCGCCTTGCCCTCGCTTATGCCCTTGACAGCAAGAATGTTCTTCTTCGGCGCGTACGCAACAGACTCTACAGTGTAGAAGCCGTACTCCATGAGCTTCTTTATATCCGCCGAGGCGATGCCGTAGTTCTCTAGCACTTGAAGAACGCGAAATCCCCCATTACTGGTGGCATCCGCATTTTGTTGCTGCTGCTGTTGTTCTTCAACGGCGGGGATTTCTGGCTGTGAGTCCACGATCTCCTGTGCCTCCTCCTCCGCTGCCTTCGAGCGCTTGTTCTTTCTGGAGCGAGTGTTCATTTTTTTTTTTT